AAAAAATAATAAAATAAAATCTGTTTGTTCCGAAATGATCCAGTTAAGTCTGATACACCCGGCCAAAGAAAAGTCTGCACAAGGACATTTGACTCTCTGCTCGTCAATTTACGCATAAAATTCCATCCAAGCACACCACCACCTTTAACATAACGAGTTCCAGTGACTATGCTCGCACCCGTCTCCATCTATTTCCTGAACTCAAGAAATTTTCAGCTAGTAAACATATTTAGAATACAAAGCTCAAAGCGTTTTCTGTAATTATTCTTACTTGATGAAGTTCTGCAAGTATTTTAGCTGTAGACAAACATGAAAAAGAAAAAAACATCTAATTAGATTATAACTAAAAGAAAAGCAAAGCAAACACTGCAAAATGAGCAATCTCCGTGCGAGACGGAGACACCGACGATGTCTTCGTATTGGAGAATCGGCATGAAGAAGTTGACTGGAGGAAGACGGAGGTTGCGCTCCTCCACTGTGAGCTCGGCTACGGCGGCGGAGGTAACAAATCTGGGGATGCATCTAGGGTTTTTTTTCGTTGTCTACAAGGCTATTCTTCTATGGTTTCCTTTTTGGTCGAAATGGATTGGTTTTGGTAAGATAAGAGATGGAGGTGGTGGAAATGGGACGAGACGACGTCGTTTTGGGGAAGGAGACGAGAGCTCGACAGGTGGCAGAAAAAACTGGCTATTTTATGTAGTTAGGACAACTGTAAGTTGCAACAAGTGCTGAGGTTGGCTTTTTTTTTTTTCTTTTTCCGAGTTAGTTGCGTACACAATTTTTTGTTTTCTATTCTCTACTTTTATTGTTAAAAATTATTTTTTCTTCCTAAGCGTATTTATTTAATTGTTACTGTTGGAAAAATTGGTTTTTATTAGTTGGTTTGACCAACTTTTGATCAATTATTTTAGTGGGTCTCATTAGTTGGACAAAATATTTTTTTGGCTTAGTGTGTTCTACTCCATGAGTAGATTAATGTAATGTATTTATTTTCTCAAAACCAATTTAGGGTGAATAAGAAATTAAAACCAAAAAATGATCACT